AGGCTTCAGAGATTTCCACATTTCCTGGAATCTGTATTCTATGCTCCCAGGGAAGGAGGAAACAGAATCCAGTGCTGCGTGCTCTGAAGAGCCTGGGATCAGGAAGGATCTGCAGCTCACCCCCGATTTCCCTTGAAATGCCTCGCCGTCTGGTATCAAGGTGCTGGCAAACTCGTGCTGCCGATTGCTGTAGACGTGCACAAATCTCACGGTGTCTTGAGTGTTTGCCAGAGCAAAGGACAGGAAAGCCTCGAAGGGTTTGCTCAACTTGGTAGCCTCGGCAGTCAGTAAAACCACACAGTACCTGCACAACACAGAAAGGAGAAAACTTTGCAACCAATCCCCGAGGGCAGGGCCAGCACCCGTCATGGCAAGTGGAGGTGAAGAAGAGGAGGTGCTCGTCTTACAGAAGTGAACACATCTTGCACAATGAAAGTTGACGTCTCTAATGAGAGCGGATTTCCAAGTCATTAATGACCTGCTTCTTTTCCAAATTGCTGTTGTTTTTCCCAAGGCAAATGACTTCACGACATTTAGGAATTTCTTTTAAGGCATAGGTCACTGATCCCTTCACGCAGCAGGGCCTCTTAAGAGCCATGTGTTCTAGTTCTGCCACCACAGGGAGGGCGGATCGAACCTGTCTCAGGCCAGAGGCCACTGAGCCTCATTCTGAAAGGCTTCCTTTGCCACGCTCCAATGGAAAGTTTTGCTATTTATTCATTAACTCATTCGTTTCCCCAAATATTGACTGAGCACCAACTGTATGCCAGGTAGAGAGACAACATTTGCCTTCACGGAGCTCATATTCCAGGGGCGAAGACAGAAAACAAATAAAAAGATATATCATGACAGGTAACAGGTGCTATGAAAAAAAATGAAGAAAAAAAGGGGAGAGAGGGAGGCCAGAATGCGGTGGGAGTCATAATCCATTCGACAGGCTGGCCCGGGAAGCAACACCTGAGGTGACACTTAAGCAGGGACCTGAATGAAGTGCACCGTGATAGGAAACGGTCAGAGCATCCCAGGAAGAGAGAACTAGTGCAAAGACCCCGAGATGGAGAATGACTCGATTCGACTCGCATTTTTAAAGATCACTTGGCTGATGTGTGGAGACCTGTTTGGTAGGTATGAAACTGGGAGTGGAGAGACTAGTTAGGAAGCTGCCACCATGGTGGCAGGTGGCCTGTTCTAGGGTAGCAACAGTTAAAAAAAAAAAAAAGTGAGCAGTGCGTGGATTTGGAATCTTTCTTGAAGGCTTTGTAAACAACAGTCCTTATAGTCAGGATGTTCTCTTTTTATATCTAATAAAGAAAGTCTAAATTAAAGTTATTCTTTCTTCTCTCTTAGACTATAAAGGAATCTGAAAAGTCTGGAAACATAGGGAAATTCTTTAAACAATATTTTAGCTGTATTTTCAAATAATGCGATCAATGTTTTCTCCCATGTCCAGATACCTTTTACAGATGAAATAGCCTTAAATTTAAAGCCACTGATTCATT